ATCAGCGGCTGATTCCAGGAAGCCGGGGGCAGAGCAACTCTGCCTAGGGCTTCCTGTAGTCAGCCGCTGATCAGTTTCAGCAGCGGCTGAATCTGAAGCCAGTTCCGACTTACATACAAATTCAGCTTAAGAACAAATCTATAGTCCCTATCTTGTATGTAAGCCAGGGACTGCCTGTATTCCAATGGTTAATTACTCTCAATGATAAAAATGTATACCTCATTTTTACTCTGAATTTGCCTAGTTTCAACTTCCAGTCATTGGACCATGTTATACCTTTCTCTGCTGGAATGAATAATCCATTATTAAACATTTATTTCCCATGTAGGTACTCAGACTAGACCAATCAAGTCATCCCTCTTTACTAAATTAAATAGATTGAGCTCCTTTTAATCATTCTCCTGGCTCTTCCCAGAACCACTTCCAATTTGTCAATATCCTTTTTGTACTGTGAACACCAGAACCACACACAGGATTCCAGCAGCAGTCACACCAGTCATCTGATCCTACTTGGGATGCAAAAACAGGGAGACTAAGAATTGTATCAGCCCTTTGGCCACTGGGAGCTAATGTTCAGCTGAATGTCCACCATGATATCTAGATCTTTTTCAGAGTCATTGCTTTTTCAGAGTCTTTGTTCTTAGATGTAAGACTATTTTTAATCTATGGGTTATCTGGAACTCTATCAGTGATGATTTTATGTTTTCTTCCAGGCCATTAATAAAAATGTTAAGTAGCATAGGCCCAAGAAGCAATCCCTGTGGGACTCCCACTCCACTAGAAACATACTCATTCAATTATGATTCCTCATTTAGTATTACCTTTTTAAACCTATCAGTCAGCTTTCAAGCCATTTAATGTATGCCATATTAATCTTTATAATCCAAACATCCTTCAGTACTAAGTCAAATACCCTACAGAATTCTATTACATCAGCACTATTACCATTTATCAACCAAACTTGTAATCTCATAAAAAAAAAAAGACAGGATCTATTTTCCATAAATCTATGTTTATTTTCATTAATTATATTACTCTCCTTTCAGACTATTATACAAATATTGGATCAGCCACACCATTATCTTGCTCTGAATCAATGTCAGACTGACAGGCCTATCATTACCCAGTCATCTCCTTTATCCTTTTAAAATATTGGCACATGAGCTTTCTTGCAGTCTTCTGGAACTTCCCTGGTGTTCCATGTCTTATTGAAATTTAGTCCTTATAGAATAAACCATTGCTTGGAGAAAAGGGATGTCTTTAAATAACGAACAGACTATCAGATGTGAGGGAGTCTAAAAATCTTCATCTATTAGATTAGAACTGCAAAAAATTGTTTCATACACAAGAGTTCTGATTTTTGCTTTTTCTAGAATTTCCAAACGCGAAACAACAAAAAGTAAAAATACAGTTGGCTGGTTTTGTTTGACCAAAAATGCTTACAGTTTCACATTCCATAAAGAAAAAAATTCTCTAGAACTGACCTTTGTAGATATATTGCTGCAAGAAGAATAACCCATCTCAACTGAGCTTTTATTTGGCTTTACTGGGCCTTTGGAAGTTTTAACAAGACAAGGCAGAAAGAAGGTCTATTCTACTGACCCCCTTGCCTCCTCCAGTCATGCCAGCATGTTTTTAACAAAGTTTGCAAGAGAAAAATAAAATATTATGGATCTCTGATTCACTTGATGGTAGAAGAGCAATTCAAAACCACTCATTTCTGTAGTGGTTTCATACCATTAAAACAATGTGGATCAAATAATGGATACTAAAATAAAAAACATGTTATATTTTTAAACAAAATTGCATTATGGAAGGTAACCAACTAAAATGAAGAGCATAGTGTGTCACGGAAATAAAAGGGGATTGTGTCTATGAATAATGCATGATAAATTATATGCAGCGCAAGGGAGTAGAGGTGGAGATTTGCAATTAGCTGATTTACTTTTAATCTCAGGCCCACCACCCATATGGACTCTTTTAGTCTAGCAGCAAAGAGATAACAGAGGAAAAGGAAATGCAGAAGAGAGGATGATGCAGAAATCATTGAGCAGCACTGATGGTGCCCTTTCCTGTACAAACTATTGAATAAATTAGTATGCAAATAAATTTAGGACAACTGTGGAAGCCCACAGGCTAGATTACATCTGACATTAAAATAATCTAACATTTTTGGATCAATAGCAGAGGGTGAAATCAGGAGAAAAGAGAAGACAAAGCTGTGCTAGTCATGTCACTCTTGGGACATACTACTGCTTAGTAGCAGAAATAGCCAATACAATTAAATCCTTAAAGCATACAGTCAAATGGGAATTACACAATATAAATAAACAACAAAAACTATGTAATTAGAACTTTTTTCCCAACTGTTCTAAAGGCTCTTAAATTCACTGTGTCTTCATCATCTAAGTCCGACTTTAGAACATTTTCTGAAAAACCCACACACTAACTGATGATTCATAAATAAAAAAGTATGTTTTTCTGTGAAAAAAAATTACCCTCACTTAACCAGGGATAGCAACAACACAGCCACCATTAGCAATGCACATTTCAGGCTTAATTATGCAAGCCTTAAACTTTAGGGGTGAGTTCTCTCTCACACAAGTAGTTCCACTGACTTTAAATGGGACTCATGTTGAGTAAGGACCATTCTCATGAAATGGTTTGCAAAGTCAGGCTCTTAATAGGCAACAGCTTGTTCTTTTTACTTGGGAAGATCACTAACAGCTGTAGTTTTCAGAGTTTGCTTCTCCATAGCCATCATTATTTAATACCTATCATACACGTCAGAAGTCTTCAACGGTATTCCTATTTCTGCTTGTCCCAGAAATTTCATTTTTTGTCATGAGGTTCCATATTACTGCCCTACAAAAAGTAGATTTACCATTCAATTCTACTGGGGTGAAATCCATTCTTCAAAACAATCAATATGAAATGCTCTAGTCCAGTCCTTTCAGCAGACCACAAATCCCTATTGTCTCTAATGGATTATCCATAGATGGCCTTAGCTGTAAGCTAAGAATTTTATGATCTCCTATTTGTTTTTAATCAGCTTCCATGAAACTTGTGAAGAATTAATATATTCCAATCATTGATAATTAAAATATCCACTAAAGATTCTGCTGCTTCACTATTATTTATTCTTTTGCCCTCATTTGACCATTTTAAATCAATTTTCAGTGAAAACTACTGGTTCTTTGATTTCCTATACAAACAGCTTTAATTACTTCATGGTAACCAAACCTGTGCCAGTCATTCCTGGAAGAACACAATATTTAGTAATTGTCTCTCACAGCATTTGGAGGCTTTTTTTTTTTTTTTCAAGTGATGCTTGTCTTGTTTCTGCTCCCTACCACACAACCACAACTGCAGAGCAACTGAGTCATTGAGGCTAATTTGAGTCTCTGAAGGAAAAAATCTGAAAACAGTTTTTTTCCAAATCAAATCCCTTAAAGCAATAATTATCTGGTTACCCCATTACAGAAAAGATACTGCTCAAAATAGTCATTGGTTTCACAAAAGCACCAGACCAGAACACTGACTGACTTGCCTAGAATTTTTAATTTATCTTTTTTCAGCAGATGAATTCCTTCCTACTGCTCAGTATTTTGGAGTTTATTTGCAATGTAGGCCATGATGATGATATTTTAATCCAATTTGTTTATCTCTATAAAATATGCCTAGACCAACATTTTATTTGCCTCATAAAACATGTATTGTAAATAATTTTGGAGGAATCATAAACAACTGCAAGAATGTTAAAATGCTTTAGGAGCAATTATCAGGCACTCATGTTTATCAGTTTAGAAGGGTAAATTCTCAGCATAAAGTAGCTATAATCTGCCATAAAACTATAGTACATTTGACCTTTTATCACCTAAGAAAAAAGCAACACAGTCACATGCTGTCACAAAAACTCTCATATGGACACAAGCTTCCTTGCAAGGCCAGCTCAGAGAATAAAACAGAGTATGATACAGGCATGACAGAATAATCCTGTTCAAGATTGTCAGTCAAAAAAAAAAATCAATGTAATCTTTGGTTTCTTTGGCCATTAGTCTCCTAAATAGCAACTGTCATTTTTCATAACTATTTTACTATTTTAAATTGGTCTTAAACTGGCTCTAGAAGGGTAAGCTCTGCCTCCCAATTAACACCAGTTGCAGGTTCAGGGCTTATATCAGGGCTGATATAGAGGAAGAAAGGGAAAGGGGGAATGCAAGTAGTCAAGAAGACTAACCAATAAGCCTAGGTATATTGGTTAATGATATGCTTGACTACTCGTTTACATCCCTACTAGTTAACCATCTCTTAGGGAGGTGAATTAATTACTGCAAAAGGGGAGCCACTCCCATTGCTGAGGTGAGTGTTTACATTGAAATACTACAGTGGCACAACTACTGCAGCTGTAGCATTTTCAGGGTAGACACAGCCTTAGGCAGATCTATTGTTACCATCACCAGCCCCCTAACAGACACACCTAATGGGGGTGGAATTGCCTCTCAAAAAAATTCTACAAGAGGACTGAGCAGTCTTAAGGTAGGAAAATCTAGTAACAGTTACCTACTCTGGGCACTTTCCCCTCCTCCCTGATGAAGGGGAACAGCCATCAATGTTCCTATATGAATCAGGAGCAAGGGGAGCTCCCACACCTCACCTAATGGGCAACTAGGAAATGAAAGGCTTGGGCACTTCCAGATGTAGGGTGGTCTGTCTCTTTTCTGTATGGTTTTATGAGAAGCAATCCCATTTCAGACACATCCCATTTTCATGGAACAACCAAACCCTTGCCTTGCTTTAAGTTAGGATAAGAGAAAGCTGTATACCAAATTTGGCGGTCCTAGCTCTTACTGTGTAAGAGGAGTTCTTGAACAAACAGAGTGAGACAGACACATGGACAAACTCTCTCAAAATACAGTAGATATGCACCATATTTCCAATTCTGGTCTGGTTGTGAAGTAGGCAGTAAAATGCCCCATATTCCATTATTAGACAATAGCATGGCTCAGGCTCAATAAAATAATTTAGAAATGAACCAAATGCAGCTTGAAGTGAAAATGTTCAATGAACAACATGTGGCTATTTTTAAATGCTGTTTTATGGGTGACAAAGTAAACGAGTCAAACAATTCTGATCGCAAACAGCAATTAATTTTTTTTATATCCATTTATTTGAACACTGGCAAACATCCACCTTGCACTTCAGTAGGGTTTTTTTTTCCCTCCCAGTAATTATTCTAAATGATTTTTGTTAAAATATAACAGCTACTAAATGAGAATCTTCTCTTTGAAGAAAGACTAATGATTCAAGATGCTCATTTGCTGTTATTCAAATTACCTTATTTATAATGTGAGGGGGTTTTGTAGCACTATAATAACTGGTTCAGTCAAGGAATGCATTCAGAATAGTTGCTGGCACAAGAGGTGATGTCACAGTTACTTTTAAACTACCTAATAATGGAGTCAGTACACTGTTCTGGCGATAACTGCATAATTGACACTACTGCACTAACTACAAGTTGGTGAGTGCTAAAAACTAACTGTTGCCTTTGTAAGTTTAAGGAGACTGTTAAAGAAAACAGATTTCTCCCCCCTCCCCAGGTTAATGTAGCTTTTGTCTCAAGCACTCTGAATAGTTGCCTTTAAATATATTGCATGTGATGATGGAGGAGGAGCATAGGCACAAAATTCTGTCAGCAGCCCACAAATTGTGTAGCAGGTGGTTCTTCTATCACACCAACAGCCTACTGACACAGTGTTTGCTCTTAGGCATTAACTCAGACTTTAGGTTTATTTAAAAATATAAATAAATAAGGTAATACAATCCAAATGTTTACATTTATGTTCTAGCAATATTCTTTATGGGTTTCTTTTGTTTGCTTTAATTAAGTAACTTGCAGTTAAAGTTGGCAGTTTCACACACTGCAGTACATTTGGCACCTCTTTATTATGCCTTTTGATGTTTTAACTTTGCTTTTAGCAGACTTAAGTAACATTACAACCACAAAGCTAGAAACACTCCACTTAGGCAAGATGCAAAGAGCCCTCAAATGTTTTACTGCAGAATTGCTCCCCAGCAGTTGAGATTTAACATAATTCAGCTGCTCTTAACTTATATCTTGTTCTTAAATAGTCAGTCAC